ATGGTAAAAACTTCAGCAAGCTACTCTCTCTCTCCTCGCCCAGCTTGCTCTTAACCAAAATACTCCAGCAAGCTACTCTCTCTCTCTCTTCATTCCACTTGGTCCACCGACGTTTCAGAATCACCACCTTCCATTCCTTCCTGCCCCGCCGCCAGATCAACAGCAGCTGCCGGAGCTCTTCATTTCCCTGCCGGATCGGTAGGGCTCCAGCAAAACCTCTCAGTTGGCCCCAATTTTACCCCAGCTCCACTACACATGCACCAGAGATCAACGTGATATTCCCAATTAATGTAAGTGAAGAGTTTATCTAACTTAGTAATCAATTAATCAATCTTGATTCCAGAAAGCTTTCCCAGTGTAGAAAAAATAGTGAGAGAAGTTGTAGTTGAAAAACAGCAATTACAAATAAACAGCTATATAGAAAATCTCTTATACACTACAAGCACACATACACTTCATCTAATTTGCACACACATTCACATTTTTTCACCCATTTAATTTTATCATCTAAAACTCATTTTCATCAATCTTGTAAAATATTGGTACAAATGTAGAAATTAATTTGGGGAAGAATGTAGCTGTTCTTGGTTTTTAATCATGGATGTTCATGTTTTGACTCTTGTTTCTTTTATCCATCAGTTATACTCTAATTCTCTCTTGGTCTTTAGTACACCATAATTGCTTTGGTCCACCTTAGGTGTTGTTGCATTTCAATGTCCTTGTGTACTCAGATGGACTTACATACAGTAGTTTGTAAGGCTGGATATTCGTCCTGCAGATCATTAAGCTAATCATCCATGATGATGACTAGAAAATGTCATTTGCTGGGCAAGCCTGCCAGAAGGTTACATCCACTCAAACATGACTTCTATCTGGTTCAACTAGTCCAGGGGTAGGCAACCTTGGCTCTTTTATGACTCGTGGACTTCAACTCCCAGCTATGCTGGCTCAGGAATTCTGGGAGTTGAAGTCCACGAGTCATAAAAGAGCCAAGGTTGCCTACCCCTGAACTAGTCCTTGGTTTCTCTATTTGTAAAATACCTTTCCAACATGAAGGCTACATTTTTGTATGGACAACACATGCATAACATTTGACAAATTGCACTAATTGACCTCTACACTATGATCTTTGTCAAGGCCCTTCCCTGGGTAATTCTGTTAAATCCAGTTAAGGAGGGGGAGGAGACTTTCTTCACAGTACTCCTAAGGCTATAAAACCAGGATTCTCTTGAGGGCTCACTTACCATCCAAAGTGCATCATTTTTATATATAAAGTTGTTGTTTTCCCAGAAAAGATTGAAATGATATGGTGTCAACCAATATAGCTGAATGCAAGACATCAAAACAACTGAAAAATAACTGAGACTATATAATTCATTGTCCCTAGGGGTGCTGATGTCCATCAACATAGGTGGTTTCAAAGGAGATTAGATATGTAAGCAGCAAGGGAGCTAACAGGACTTCAACAAGAGAAGAAGAAATAAGACTGATCAGAAACGCTCTGTGTGGTCTCAGGAACTGTGTGCTGAACAGTGAGGACTGAAAGTTGCAAATAATGTGTCCACTGTGGGTGAATGAGTGACTATCACTTCCTGAGTCAGCACAGATTAAAAAGCAAAAAAAATGCATACTGATTTCATGGAATGAGTCAATTAAGTTAGGAAGAATTTGCCTGATGAATTTAGTAGAATGTTTAAGGAAAATTTATAATTAATATCCCTTTGAGTTAAGAGTTTATACTTGTTTAGCCTGAAATTGTGAAAAAGGAAAGAGAAGAAATAAAACAATTCTACTACTGTTGTTCTAAGAACAAAAATTAATCAAACAAACAGAGGCTTGTTTGATTTGCAGGGTGCAATATGTTTGTCTTTCTGCCTGAAAACAATCTTTGCAGCAAAGTTTACAGTAATTCTAGAAGAAAAAGGCAAGAATTGGAACAATGACTACAGCTGATGAAAAAGGACAGGATTTATCAGTTTGGGAACTACCCAAAGGAAGGTGCAATGAACCAACTGAGCTTCTTTTGGAAGTGGGACTTAACAAGCAGTGTGGATAATTGAATAAAAATATATGTCGAATTCTATAGAGACTATAGTAGCACTAATAGATTTATACAGAAATGTGGTTTTTTTAGCCATTCCAGACCAAAACCATCTGAACAGGAGAATGTTTATTTTTTCTAGAAATAACAATTAAGGCTGTTATATAAATGTGTTGAAGCACATAATAATTAAGAATCCAAAGGTATCTTTAAAAAACAAACAACTTTATTGCAGCACTTTTACTAGTTTTGCTAGAGCACAATTATATTTTTGAAAAATCTGTTTTGCATAATTGTTTATGAATCAGATTTCATAGATTAGTCCTGTAATACAGTATGCAACTTTTCCATGGACTCCTGTGGCTGTGCATAAATTTTTCTATATGAAGACAAGGATCCTAGAGTCCTTAATATAGCCAAATTCACTACAAACAGAAAATGAAGACATACTGTACACCAGCGGCCCCCAACCTTTGCAGCTTGGCAGCCTGGCTGGGAGGGGGAGAGGGGAACTTGGCTGCACAAGTGGTGGGCCAGCACGCATATGCACACACAACTTCTGCACAAGTGCAAGCCGGTACACATGTGTGCAGTTGGACATGTGTGTGGGCCAGCACATGTGAGAGAGCCCACTGGCCCACCACTCACACAAGTTGAGCTGCATGAGCACATGCACACTTTGGGCCACCACTCATACAGCTCAATTCCAAATAGGCCACAGCCCAGGTAGTGGGCCGCGGCCCAGGTTTGGGAACCGGTGCTGTACAGTTTCTTTGCAAATGTATTTGGCACATGCTGTCCCACAATCCAGAGAAAATATTGAGCCTCGATTGTCTTTGATAGATCTGTCCTCCAATACTGTATAATGATCTGCTTTTAATGCCATCCAGATTAGTGATCATGATGTTTTATGACTGGTGATACAGTAGTTAGAATGCAGTATTGCAGGCTAACTCTGTCCATAGTCTGAAATTTGATTTGACTCAGCCTTCCATCCTTCAGAGATCAGTAAAATGAGGACCCATATTGGCAATATGCTCATTTTGTAAACTGTTCAGAGAGTTCTGTAAAGCACTGTGGACTAGTATATAGGTTTAAGTGCTACTCCTATTGCTATTACAGTAATGAAATCTGCAGATATATTACTTCTTGTACAAACAGGTGTTTTCTTCTAACTCCTTTAATATCAGTTTCACTAAATTACTTGTGGTCCTTGTGTTCTGACAGAAGAAGAAAAACCTTTTCCTGATGTATCTTGTTTTTTCTACGCAATGCATGCTTTTATATTTCAGGTCCTTCAGTTGCCATTTTTTCTCACCTTTTCTTCAAGGAGAGGTATTTGAGATTCCCATCCTGATCCTAGTCTAGGTCACAGTTCCCCAACCTTTCCAGCTTTGCAGACCGGCGGGGGGGGG